TCTTCAAGTTGGAAGACCTTTTCTTAAACCACTAGTACTTGGCCTAGCTATCGGCCGCGAAAAAAAACAGGGTAAAAACGTTTCTAGTTGGATGAATTTGGACGCTCCTGTAGTGGACCGTACGTTTCCTAAAATCGTAGTGCGTTAACGGGCATGACTTTAGGAAGTACTGATGGTTTAAGGTTGCTGCCAGTCGGGGCCCAATCCAACCTCTACATATATGGAGACTCACTTGGCTTATCAATTTTAGAGGTGGGAAAGGCGTGAGTTCTTATTCACACCATCCGCGATATGCATTTATGAGGTAGGTTTACCTAATCAGGAAGCTTGGTAGACGAAGTGTCTGAAGGTTATTACTTCTCTGAGGCCAACATCTCATGCACTTCGACCGCCACTGCAACACAACCTATCTCGTTGAACTTAAAAAAAGGGGCTACTGTTTTTTTTTTTTTTTTTTTTAACACCTGCAAAAATGGATAGGAGTGATTATAAGAGCATTGACTCCTATCTGTTATGCAGGGGGCTCCATTCTATTGGTGGGGAGTTGTAACTGTTGGAAAACGGGTCCAACGTCCCTTGAACAATGGTAAAATAACACTTGCTGGGAACCAGGCCCAACGTCCCTGATGATGTTCCTGATCCTATTGATAAATCGAATGAAAAAGGATTGAGACCTGAACACCTCTTCAGTCTAATTAAGGACCGCCATATTAGCCTATCAAACCCAACACCCAAACCCTTTTTTGTTATTGTGCTCATATCGAACTTTTTCACTCTCCCGATAATCAAAACTATTGCAGATCAACCAAAGCAAGATCAGAAGGTGGGAATGAATCTGTGAAAATTTGAGGAGATCTGAACGAAGCTCCTGGCTGAAGTTTGAACCAGTCTCGAAAAAAGAGTTGAAAGTCCTTTCTGAAAGGCTCCTCAACCCCATCCTCCCTTGGCCACTTCACCTCACCCAGACCCCCCTTGCGGAATTTTTCATCCAGTCTTTTTCATATTGTTGGATTGCCTTCTTTACGTCTCTTTTTAAATGAAATTTATATACCTTGATTGTGAGGACCTCCCATTGTGCCCAAACCTTTGTTTGAACAAAATCCACAATTAGTTCCACAATATAAGAGTTTTCTAACCTTACTTATTTTTTTCCCCTTACACAACGTCTGTACCACAGCGTCCAGAGAACAACCTTACGCCCAATCATAAAGAAGTTTTGCTGAAAGTCTAATAACTAAATGCCTGCAGGCTCCCAATAACCTAGAAGAATAGCCCTCCAATCCTAGGGTCAATCTAGACTTATAATAGTCCTCCAAATGCAATCCCACCTACGCAATATCAACATCGAACCAGCACACTGCAAAAAATGTGCTCAATGGTTTCCCAGAATCTTCGACTAGGGAATGCAAACACACAAGACTTACACCATGGCACTGCCAAGCCTCGTTGTTTTAGCGTCGAGCGGTCAGTCACCCAATCATTTGTGGGCAAACACCGATGGATTATCTGCTATATCTATATTGAGGTGTCTAGCCCATCGTTCCTATACAATTGCTGCAATATCCACTCTTGGGCGAAGTAGCTTAGAGATCGCAATACACTTGGTTTTCCTTTTTTACATGTCAACCAAATCCACTCTGCAGGATCAAAAGAAAGATCGGGATCGAGATTTCAGGGTACTATGCCTTTCACTCTTGGGAAGAGAAATAAAAAATCACCCTACCCCTGTACATGCAGTCGTAGGGAAGCAGTTGCACTGTTTCCTTTGTGATCAGGGTATAGTCTCTTTTGATTCCACATATGCTTACCAAAGCTCCATTAGGCAGTAGGTGTAACACTTGGCCTATTTTATTTTCATCACTAGGTATGCATCCTGCTACCCTGTCTGCTTCCTTTAAGCAAATCTCTTTCCTCATCGTGCGGACCCAAGCCAGAGGAATAAAAAAAATGATTTGATCCAACAATCCGCTAGCCGATGAGCATACCTAAGTATCTCTCTTAATTTTTCCGCTGTTTTCCAATTCTTTTTTGTTAAGTCCCACAAGTTTTTTACCCACAATACCCCCCTCTTGACCCAAAGAGACCACGACGAAGCAGAACTATTGAAGTTAACTTCATTCCTATCAGTAATCCATTCGTTACCAAAGAGGGGCTGACGAAGCACTTCCTCATATCTAGAGGGGAATGATTTATTTGGTAGAGGTAGGTGACGCCAAGTTGTGAGTAGAGTAACCCAAAAATCATCCAACCCAAGATCATTTATAGATGCCCCTCTATCCCCTTTTATTCTGGATTGAGGGTGTTTTCTAGGAATGCTCCAATAGTGATCCTCAATCCATGTAAGGGGGTGCACATCCTCGCTGGTAAGGGGAGCCAACCTTCGAATTTGCTCCAAAGCTAGCACCAACCAAAGTCTGTTACCAAAAATTAATTTCTTGATCCACTGAATAGGCCCTCCCGCGATTTGGGTTGAATTATTGTAATCCAAGTAACCCTTGGAATTACCTTTTCTTGCTCATGGTTACTTCTCCACAAGAATGTTGAAACTCGTTTTCTCAACAATTTCGTCCGTGTTTGGGAAATAGACCATAATGTAGATTTATACCACATCGGGGCAAATACAACATTATTAAGGATTATGGCTCTGCCAAACAAAGAAGTACGTTGATCCTTCCATTGATTCATCTTATCAAGTGTTGGGCCAGAAATCCATTCATCATTAATGACCGGTTTGCCTTGAGTTGTGAGAGAAAAATGCGGATTGGAGCATCAAGTGGTACCCAACTGATTCTTGGAAGTTTTGGTGGTCTAGTGCCATTGGAGTGAATCCACCATCCTTGTGTTTTACTTCCCCAGTTTAAAACCATATCAGATACTTGGGAGAAACGATCCATTAAGGATTTAATCTCCTCCATATAACTCTCAGAGGCTTCCATCATTAGTGTTACATCGTTCGCAAACATAGAGGTTTTAAGATACTTGGCTCTTGAGGCCGGAGTCGCCAGTTCGAATCTGTGCGCGCACAGAGGAGGACTTAGGCCCAGACGTACGGAATCCATACTACTGTGGAAGCGCCCATGAACCGCGGGCATTGATAAGTCCCGTCTGTGTGAGCGGGTAAGAGTACCAGCGGGGGTTACGTGCTGACTACAGAGCGAAGTGTACGAGAATTGCCGTGTCCGTGGGTGTTGTGTGTGGTGTGTGTTGAGTTGGACACTACAGCTTTGCAGGGGTGGGGTGGATATCACGACYGGTACGATTCCACTTTTGAACACCGTGTCCTGGCTGTAGTGGTTAAGAGACTTGGCTCTTGAGGCTAAAGTCGCCGGTTCGAATCTGTGCGTGCACAGAGGAGGACTTAGGCCCAGACGTACGGAATCCATACTATTCCTCTGGGATGCCAGGGATCCTTAGCCGTTTGAGATTGTTGCTAGTCCTGAGATTATCACCTAATGTCTCCATGATTATTACAAACAGAAAGGGTGCCAGGGGAACCTTGCCCTGCTCAGCTTGAAATGTTGGGCCTACTGGGTCACTGTGATGCTGATAGACCTGTGCATTTGGTGTGTGGCAAATTCGTTTTGGTCTGATGCATTGGGACCTACCCTACATCCCTGATTTCTTTTAGAGTTTTGTGAACATCGAAAGAATTTATTTTGCCTTGTTCAAAAAGCATGTAATACAAGAAGTATTCTCTCTCTCTCACACACACACACACACACNCACACACACACACACACACACACACACACACACACACACACACACACAGAGAGAGAGAGAGAGAGAGAGAGAGAGAGAGAGAGAGAGAGAGAGAGAGAGAGCAGAACAGATATGATCAATGGAGCCGGAGGGTACAGGCAATCAAACTTAAGTCCAACTGTTGAGCTTTGACTTACGAAAGGCACAACAGCAAACTAACATGTGATTATCATGATAAAAAGTACCTGACTTGGACTTGATTGAATCAATGTCCTTAACAACTGGACCTTGACTTAGGCAAAAAAGCCACAAAATATACAACATGAAACTTGATAGTTCGACCTGAGGTTTGATACAGACTGCTTTACACAGTATTGTTGTGTAAATGCAGTGATTGCACATCATTATGGTACAGATGCGTTCTGAATAACGCTGAGATTGTTACATAATTAAACTTGGATTTTGAACATAAATAAATTTGACCGCAGAATAGACAGCATCAAATCTGAATGTCATTTCTTTATACAAACGAATCTGCCTGCAAGATAGAGACGATTCAACCTAGACTCTAAGGGCCTCGTTCGACACCACTAGAGATGTGCCATTTTTCCAGGGCGCCCTAACTCAGGAAAAGTGATTAATCTCCCTTAACCCGTTTTTTGGTTCCACAACCCCTTTTAGACGAACCCTTGAGATGGATACCCTGTGGACTTAGGCGTCGACGATAGGGTGTCAGGAGCAGTGGTGATTTGTGGAAAACTATTGGGAAAAAAAGAAAAAGGGGTAACTTCAGTAGAGTCACAAAAACAAGTTATAATTGCACTATGGGCCAAGATACAGTTTGCAATTGCACTTTGGGCACCCTGCCTGGCCAGGCTGGGCAGAAAGCTGGGTTGTGTTCGTTGCCCGAACAACCTGCAATTCGAAACTGTATCTTGGCCCATAGCGCAATTATAACTCATTTCTGTGACTTCCGTGTAGTTTCCCCAAAGAAAAAAATGTGTCTTATGCGTTTTTTAGAGTCCATCCCTAACTTCTCTAGCGACCTCCCAAGGCGCCGTTGACTTGAGATTTTCGTCGTTTTGGCTGCGGCGCACTTGGTAAGTTAGGGCAGACTCCCCAGAGATGCAAACTGTGGAAACCTTTCGGAGTTCTAAATCGACGTGATTAGGGCCATGTGGAACTTCCCAGAAAACCCGTAAATCTCTAGTGGTGTCGAACGAGGCCCTAAATACTGGTGGCTGACCTACCTACGTTCAGAGGACTGCAGAAGTCATGATGAACTGGTATGATACAGACCGCTCCAGCTTCTTTTGTTCTGGGACTTGTACTGATCATTGCGAGCAAACTAACTATGATTGACATGACTGTTATTCTTACCGTGGTCGGAATCAACGTGATAGAGTGACTGTGGCTGGAATCAATGCGATGGATCAGTTGGGGGACTGGAAAGGACGGAGGCATTTTGGATCTCTTAAGACGTGCTGCTTTTGCCGGAAGCGCAGTCCCCCTATCCTCGGGCCGGAGAATCCTTCTTCGTTGGCCAATTCGACATCCTGCATTGCCAATTCGAGTGCTTTTTCAAACCCAAAATCCTGTAGATGCTGGGCCCGGGTCCGCAGCAATTCAGCATATTGGGGCCTATCGAGTCGGTAATTCCTCGTAATGTCGTCAATTTCCATATGGTAGAGCTTGTTTATGATTTGCCAGTATTTTCCTGGATAATCCGTTCCGATCTTGCCTTCGGGGACATGGCATCGGTAGTCGAAATGGGCCACCTCGGGTCGAGACTGGAAATGGAAGTGGTACGAGGTACGAGGCAGGAACACCGAGTCCACGACACATTTGTTCCAACCGAATGCCTGATCTGTGTCGATGCCCGTCATACTGGAGCTATTCTCGTTTGTGTATAGGAACACATTGCCTGGGTGTCGATCGCATTGCGATGTGAGCAGGTCAAGCAGTGCGAAGGTCTTAAACTGATCGTCCGGAATTCTGAGGATACGCTCCTGTTGAAAGTGCTTCGGTGTGAGGTCTACCCAACGCATCAGCGATATCCCAGGTGCAATGTCCGCAAATAGAGCATCATGATCAACCCATACTCCGGTTACGGGAGTAACTGCCTTGACGTGTTCAATCCACGTTCGCACAGATGCCTGCTCCAATCCTGCTTGCTCCACAACAAGGTTGACTGACACGGGGATAGTCAGTGTCTTTGTGGTGTAATGATGCATCAAACATTTCTGCCTTTTGTCGGCATATGCAAAAGCGACCAGATGCGCTATACCTGGAATGCAAGAAGGGAACTTCACAATTGCCTCTTTCATTTCAAACTCTTCATCTCCATCTCCATCATCATCCTTGCAGTTGATCCTGCTCCATGCTTTGCGGTCCCGTCTGTCCGGTTCCGCATCTTTTCTACCTGTAACCTCCTCTCTTGTTAGCCTCCCAGAAAGACGGGTCTCATTCAGCACTTCCCTCCCAGAAAGACGGGTCTCATTCAGCACTTCACCCCCATCAAGAAGGGGTTCTATTTCTGCGGTCATGTTGTTGTGAAGGGTGTCATCCGGGCGAAGATTCGACACACTGCCTTCCATAGTGGGTTCCACTGCAGTTGTCTTGTGATGATTCTCTTGTAGCCTAGTTCCTTGAGATGAGCTTCCTCTTTGTTCCATGTTTTTCTTCTCTGCTGTTGCGAGGGGTTCAGGTAAGCCAGGCCCTGTGGGAACGATCATACTAGGATTACCTCTGAATGCATTTACCGGTTCAGCAATAGCTGCATCTGACTCTGGCTCTTCCCGGGCTGTGACGGCTGGGTATTCTCCCTCCCTGTTCTCACTGTCGATGAGGTTGAGATTCAACCTCGTCGATATAAAACGCAGATAGTCATTCAGGGGCTCAGTGGACCTCCCCGTTGCTGCATCCTTCTCTCCCGCCGCCGCAGATTCCATCAGTTTTCGCTTTAAGTTATTACCACCTGCTAACCGGCCAGTAACGTTGACGGGAGCTGGAGCTAAACTACTTAAACTACTTTGGCCAAGAGACTTACCGTCGTCCAGGTCTGCTCCAAGTCTGCATTTTTCCTTCCAGTTCGATATTTTTACCATATGTCTGCTATTCTTCTTCTTCTCCAAATATCGAGCTCTAAAGATCGAGGAGGTAGTTGCACCTTCGTACAATGGGTAAATCTGACCATGCATTAGCTTTTCAGTCTGCAGGGGCTCTAAGACATGTGAGCAACCCCTGCAACAGAAAGCCACACACCTCCTCGCTAACTTGGGATTCGTCGTTTCGTTCATCCCTGGTGCAATCTCACAGTCAAAGCACAAGCTTCCTTCATCAGGGCCCCGTTTTTTTGATTGACCAATAGAAACTATGTCCCCCTCTCTTTGCAAGCTAGTGCCATTGTGATCCTTGTCACCACCTATGCCATCTCCTCCTCCTCCTCCTCCTCCTCCTCCTCCTCCACCACCACCACCACCACCACCACCATCTCCTCTTCCTGCCCGTTGAGAACACATTTCGTCGCGGCGATCAGCAACTACTTTCATAAGGTTTGTGATCGCCAAAGTCAACGATGCGATGTTCATCTTCTCCGTCTTCTGCACTTCCTCAAGACTAATCGCATTTGCTTTACGGGCCTTGATTCTCTTTTCGAGCTTTCGGTGATCGTCAACAAACCGTTTGGCACGTTTCGAATGGTTCTGCTTCAAAGACGCAACTTTGGCTCTCGTATTTTCCAACTCTGTTTTCAGTCTTTCGCCAAGGACCTCCTCGTCATCCCTCCCATGCGCGATCCTTACCTCATCCCTAATCCTCTGCAACTTTTCGAAGATGCGGCCTTTGAGTTGAGGATCGCTTTGCAGGTTTGCTCCGTATAGGTTCAATTGGTCACTCTGTTCCTCGTTGGCATACAAATACCCTCTCAAAGTCGTGAATGTTCCCATTTCACTGATGCATGGCCAAATAAGCACCATGCCATCAATGAACAGAACAGTCACGCAGAAGACAGCCACAAGTTTGGGAGTCAACCAACCCTCCACACTGTTAATTACATGTGTCGACCAATGCTGCTTCCTTCCTGTACTTTGGCTGGAGAGCGAAAAAAAACCTATTCCTCCACCTCGCACCCCCCGAGAACCCCTCTCCTTGGCCACATCACTACTGCTACAGTCGTCTCCCTTGTGTCTTCTGGCTGCATGCACCTCCTCGTTAGCAGAGTACTCTGAATACATGCTGCAGTCACACACGGTCGGAGATTCGGACGGCATGCGGGACCTTCCAATATAGTGATGAACGGCGCGCAGTGAGGAGCCCAGTTCGGGCAGCTGTTGACATTACCCTGTTTCTTGGGAAGAAGTTATATATATCCTTAGAACAGCTGCTCTTGACAGGCACTATGAGAAGTCCTCTTGTTCTGTAACTGACACCTGACAATCAGTTCTTCTACTCCATACAGACAAGTGAAACAATTAATTCCACATGAAGAAAGAAGGTGTTTGCATGCACCACTGTGTGCAGCTTCGAGAGCATCCACGAGTCACAAGAAGGTTCTTGAACAGCAACCGCTTCTCCCTCCTCCTCCTCCTGCTCCTCCCTTCTCCTCCTCCCTCCCCCTCCTCCCTCTTCATCTTTCTTAGTGACGCCCTCCTACCACCATCTCACCAAGTGCTACAGACACCTTCCTAAGAAGTACTTGTTCTCCTTCTCCTTTGCCTTCTCCTCCTCCCTCCTCCCTCCTTCTCCTCTTCCTCTGTCTTAATACCACCCTTCTGACAATGAAACCTCACCGAAAGCCTCACAAATGTCCCCGACCAGTGACTGCTTCTTCCTCCTCCTCCTCATGCTCTTTGCATCTCCTACTTCCTCCTCTCCTCTGTCTCGATGGCACCCTCTTACCACCATCTCACTGAATGTCAAACAAACCATCCCAAACAGTAACTGCTTCTCCCTCCCTCTCCTCCTCCTCCTCCTCCTCCTCCTCCTCCTCCTCCTCCTCCTGCTGCTGCTGCTGCTACTGATGGTGATGATGATGCTCCCTCCTCTGTCCCAATCACCCTCTTACAAGTTGCCACCCTCTCACTGACTGCCTATGAACAGGGGGGGGTGCCTCCCTCTTCCTCCTCCTGGTGGTGAATTAGTGACCACTCGATTACCACCATCGCACTAAGGGCTATGAGTAGAAAGTCTGCAGGATCTTGAAAGGCATACTCTCGCCCGCTTGCCATGAGCACCCCGGGCAAATGTTAAGAGCAAACCCGAGTTTTCTGAAGGTAAATCGGCACTGTGATGTCGCCCTCCCCTTCCCTTCTTGCCCTCCTGCACTTTGAGGTCACCGTGCTGTCCCCAGCGGCGAACTGAGGAAAGAAAGATCGATGATCTGATTGGTCGAAGGGACAAGTTAACCCATCAGTTGAACCCCGCATCGTCCTCTGCCAAATCCTCGTCCCTCCTCCCCCCCCTCCCCTCCTCTCTCCCCTCCTTCACCTTCCCTTGAGGTTCTTAGACCTCCCTCTTGCCACCATCCCACCGCTGACCTCGCCCCTCCACACTCCGATTGCATGCTTAGATAATCCAGAGGTCACGAAAGAATCTGGCCACAATATTGCATAAGGTTCGCTGTTAGCTCCGAGCTCCGTTCACTGTTAACTTTGTCAAGGCAAAAGCAACCAACTTTTAGTACGTAGACAGACCGTCAGGGAAGGGGAAGGAGCCTCAAGGAGGGCACAAAAAAAGTTTCTGCAGCTTTCTATCCACATCCCAAGCCAAGTTGAAGTCGACCACCAAAACAGTTTCTGCAGCTTTCTTCTTGTTTTGTTTTACGGAATTAAGCAGACAAATCACTCCCCCAACTAAGAATGGTCAGGCACCCTTCCCCCCCCAATAGAATCAAGAAACAGCATTTAACAACCATCTCCTACATCGGCGTGGCGGCAACATCGCAGCATCAACTCCATAATGAAGGCAACAATAGCTGCACAGATCCTCAGGAAGAGCAGTTCGTCAGAAACAGGTTAGCATGCTGCAGCCGTCCTTAAGCTCATTCATTGTAAGGTCAGGCTAACAAACTTCAACCCAAAGAAAACTGAGGGTAGGAGTTACTACCCTCAGTTACCCTTACTACCACCCTCAGTTACCCTCAGGTCTCCCCTGCTGTTCCACAAGATCCACTTATCTCCCTCTCAAGCGGGTCATGCTTTCCTTTTTTTTTTTTTTTTTTTTCCGTTGTCCCAGTTGAGTTGCTTGCTTGCGATTGCAGTTGGTATGTTTGCAATTTAGTAAGACTTAAAAAAAAATAATAATAATAATAAAAAAAAAAAAAATAGAAAGACTTGGTATCTTGATCTGTCAATGGGACGCTGGACCCGGTTTCCAGCAGGTGCCGCTCTCCACCAATAGATGGAGCAGCCCGACAGATAAGCGCTCAATTCTGACGGTTCTCTTACCACCGCCAGGATAGAGGGATATCGTAAGGGCCTTAAAAAAAAAAAAAAAAAAAAAAAAAAAACGTCTTGGTATCTTCGAGTCCGACCTGGTGGGACAAGGCGTGGGCCCAAAGGCGCAGGAGCACAGTGCCAGTTAATAAACTCGGTGTCTTTGCAATTCAGGCAAGAATCGGGGGGTTGAAGTTGTGAACTCGTCTACATGGGACACAGGCACAGGAGCACGCTGGCTCTCTCTCTGGCTCTGGCTCTGGCTGAAACCCTCCCTACCTGTGGTAGTAAAGTTTTTTTTGAGGTTGAAATTTAAGCAAAGGGAGGCGGAGGGTGGGGATGGAGGACGTGGAGAAGGTGGAGGACTAAAGGATGAGAAAGAAGAGGAAGAGCAAGAGGAAGAGGAAGAAAAGGAATAGGAAGAGGAAGAGGAGGAGGAGGAGGAGGAGGAGGGGGAGGAGCAAGAGCAATAGGAGCAAAGTAGGAGAAGCCCAAGGACGAGAAGGGAAACGTGATCTATTCCAACGGAAAGCGAAAGATAAGATGGCTGGAAATAGGACAATAAGGACTAAAACAAAAACAAGCAGGGAGGAAAGAAAGAGAAGGAATGAGCAGGATGAGGAAGTTCCACCAAGAGCCAAGGGGGAGGGGAAAGGGGGGGGAGAAGGTCAATGTCGACAATGCCGGGGGAAGACGGCGACCATGAGAGTTTACGTGTCGTGTGAACGTATGAACTACCGTCTTTCCCCGAGCACAACGCACCCTCATGATGAAAGCATACAAGCTATCTTTCAGGTTGGATACGGTCGTGATAAGGGTGCGTGGTGTTCGGCGGAGGCGGAAGTTCTCAACAACGCGGGGGAAAGGAGGAGACAGTCCGAGGAGATGGTTGGACGCACAAAAGCGACAGCAGAAAAAGAACATCATGAACAAGATCTGGGGGGATGGAGGGAAGAAACGCCACGCACAGACACAGAGAGAGACGCACACACACACACACACACACACACACACACACACACACACACACAGAGAGAGAGAGAGAGAGAGAGAGAGAGAGAGAGAGAGAGAGAGAGA